GGGTGCCCAGTAGGTGGCCATGACCCTCTGCTTGGAGCAGAGCGAGGTGGGAAACGCAGACGCTGAGCGTTTGTCCTGGGAGCTCGGGACGCCAGCAGCTTGCGCGGTGCCCGTTCCAGGCGTTTCCCTTGGCAGCTGCGTCCCCAGGAAGGTTCCGAGGGAACCAACGGGCCTCGGTACCTGCCGATGCGGCAGCAGGTCGGCAAGGCGGGCTCTGGACTCCCCCGTGCGTCCTGCAGGGGAACCTTAAAAGCTCCCTGCTCCCTTGACCTAGGAACCAGGAAGTCAAGTTTCCATTCCCGGTCAGAGCACATGCCCAGGTTGTGGGCTCCATCCCCAGTCGGGGGCGTGTAGGAAGTAGCCGATCAATGATTCTCTCTCATCATGGATGTTTCTATCTCTCTCTCCATCTCCCTTCCACTAGGAAATCAATAAAAATATATTTTTAAAATAAAGAAGCTCCCTGCTCCCCTTGCTTACCCAGGAGGCCAGGGGTCTCCGGAACCAGAATCCCTGCTCCCCCCGACCGGCCCAACATGGAAGCTGCAGGACGGCCGCCAGCATCTGCTCTCAGCGCCCCAGATGAGCAAAGACATACCCACGGCTCGGGGGTCCGGTCCATTCCCACTATTCCACTTAAGATGCTCAAACGAGCAATACCCGTTGGCAACGCAAACACATTCCTACTAGCTGAGTAGGCAGGACCGGAGGTTATAGGCCCCAGTGGCCTTGTTCTGAGCTATGAAAGGAGGGTCTAGATTTCAAAGGCGCTGAGACAGAACTCTGCCCCTGGTGGGCCTTCGCTCCTCCTCCTGTTCCTCCTGCGAGGAGCTGACACTTCCTGGAGTCCTGTCTGAGCCGACTTCAAAGCGTCCCGAAGTCAAGCCACCGGGGCTTCTGCATTTCTCAAAAGGGCAGACTCCCCCTGGCACCTCGCACAAGGCCTGGGACGTCATGGATTTTCAATAACTATTTGTCGACTAAGTGAATATACAGAAAGAACTCAGTAGGGAAGCAGGGTCCCTTGGTAAATTACATAAACATCGAATCACAATGCTGTACACCTGAAACGAATATAATATTGTATGTCAACTATAATTGAAAAAAAAAAAATTCAGCCCCGCTGGCTCGGCTCCATGGTTGAGCATTGACCCGTGCACCCAGAGTTCGCTGGTTCAATTCCCAGTCAGGGCATGTGCCCGGGTTGTGGCCTCGATCCCCAGTGGGGTTGGGGGGAAGCGTGTGCATGAGGCAGCCGATGGATGTTTCTATCTCATCACTGATGTTTCTCTCTCTCTAAAAAAATCAATAAGAACGTATTTTTTTTTAATGAAAAAAATAAATTTAAAAAACAAAGAAAAACAGGATAATCTTTCATCAGTAAGTGTTTTTTTCCTTCAAAAGCTACACCTCGAAACTCTTGGGTAGACTCCCAGGGAATGGTACCCGGTGCCCAGGCAGGGCCCCCCCTGAAGCCGAGCTGGTTCTGAACCGCCAGCTCTAGGGGATGGGGGACCCCGGCTTGTGCAGGGCCCCCCCTGCATGGCTGAGCATGGCGCCCCAATGAGACACGTCTCTACCGGATGAGAACACTGAGAAACTGCTACAGATCTAAAACACTGCTTTCAAATAGTATAACGTGTTTCCCCGACGGCAGGCAGATGCATCTAGCGAGGTATGGAGCGCACTCCATTCCAATAACTTGCAAGTTATTTAAATAACTCGGAAGGCCAGCACGCTTGCCAAACCACTGGGTGTGTGGTTGCTTCTGTAATTAGGCGGCAATCTGCATCTGGGTCATGGGGGCCGGAAGCTGGGAAACATGGACAAGACGTCACCTACATAAACAGAGCCCCGGGGACCCCTCAGGGGTGGGGACGGTGTGCGCGTGCCACCCACGCCACCTCAGCGGTGCCCGTCAGACGGCTGCCGGGTCAGACGTGCCATCTGAGGCCCCTAAACCGAGCGGAGCGAATGGCGCCCGTGGGAAGCTTAGCGGAGACACGACGCCAGCCTGGCCTCAGCACCCTGTGGGCCCGTGACCAGGCCTTCCGATGACGCGCGTGGAGAATGCGTCGGTCAAGCAAGCGAAGACCCCTCTGCCTTCGCTGAGCAGAACGCGCTTATGGAAACGGTGGCGCCGGCCGCGTGGAAGGTTTGGGGCCACGTTTAGAAACGGGTCGCATGAATTTCACGTCCTTAGCAGAAAGGCGGCCTTGAGCGTGGGTCCACTTAGGGACAACGAAAAGCCAGAGTTTGGCCAAATGCTGGGGAGCTGGGAATTCATTTTTAAAAATAACACTTGAGGGACGGGAACGTGATGATTGGGTTTGAGTTCAAGAACTGAGTTAGTTTCCTGAAAATAGGCGGTTTTCTTTGAGGGGGCTATAGGTATAGCCATGAGAGCCAATCCCTGCTATTTTTCTCCAGTACAATGTTCAGAATGAAACAGGTGGTGTCTCCCAGGCATGGCCCAGCATTTGAGGCTTGTTTTTCCAGTCCGCGAGAGCATGCACGTTACTTCCTTCCTGTCAGCTCAGCGACCTGGCAGCGGCACCACCACGCTCGCCGTGAGCACACCGTGCCCAGATCGTGGCGTCTAACACCATCTCCAGTGACCCCGGCTCCCCGGGGGAGTGGCTGAGTTTAGGGCCGGGGCAGGCAATAGACAAGATGAAACTGGTGCATCTTGTATAATTTTTAAGAAAATATTTTCATTGATTTTTAGAGAGAGAGGAAGGGAGAGAAACATCGATGTGAGAGCAGAACATCCATCAGCTGCCTCCTGCACGCCCCCGACAGGGCAGGGATCTAGCCCACCACCTGGGCATGTATCCTGACGGATAATCGAGCCCACAACCTTTAGTGCACAGAGCAGCACCCAACCAACCGAGTCACACCAGCCGGGGCTCGTATAATTTTTTTTAAAGGCCCAACTCCAGGTTGATGCTAGAGGTTTGGGGGTGGAGGTGGGGGTGTTGCAGAAACTGCAGGGAGACCTGGCTCCACAGGGTCCTTTCTTTTTAAGGAGGTGGGTACCTTGCTAGGGGGTCACAAGCGATAAAGGAGCTAGCGGTGAGCACGGTGGAAACGTGGTCCCCATGCCTTCCCTGATTGAGTGTCCGCTCCCGAGGGGGACACAGTGGCACCAGGCACAGCTCCTCGGCTTGCTCCTCCCGTGCTCACGGCCTGGGAGGGACCGCTGGGCTGGGGTCAGCACGGGCCTCGCAGGAAGGGGCATCGGGAGCGAGCAGGACGCAGGCCCACAGCAGCGCTGAGCAGGCGGTGAGGGGCGGGCACTCAGCAGGCAGCAGCTGCCGATGGGGAGCGGAGGCCGAGGGTCAGAGCGGAGCCCCCATCCCAGTCCCGCCGGCCCCGCCTGCGGAGCACCCGGGCATCACGCCGTGGACCTGGCTCCCAAGTCAGGTGTGGTGAGAGGGTGCCCTGACCCCACCCCGCCCCAGGTAGGGATGCCAGATACAGACTCCAGGTGCATTTGGATTTAAGATAAACAACAAAGAAATTTTTGGTATAAGTATGTCCCCAAAATATTGCATGGGACTTATTTATATACTTGAGGCCCGAAATTCATTCACTGGTAGGGTCCCTAGGCCTGGCCGGCAATCAGGGCTGATTGGGGCCTTCCTTCTCCCAGCTGCCGTCTGCTGGCTGCTGGCCGGGGCCTACCTTCATCCTGTGCCGCCCCCTGGTGGTCAGTGCACGTCATAGTGAGTGGTTGAACTCCGGTGGGTCGAACTCCCAAGGGGATAATTTGCTTATTAGCCTTTTATTATATACGATATTTTTAAAAGCTTGTTCATCTGAAGTCCAAGTGCAAAAGAACATTCTATTCTTCATTTGCTGAATCTGGCAACCCTACCACAAGGGGAAGCCCCATGGCAGCGTCCACCACCCAGGAGACTTCAGGGCGCTGCGTATTTTTGTGTTATTACAGTACCTGTAAACATTTAGATACTTCATGCAATAGTTTACTTCTCCTTGTCTGCATCCATCAACTCAGTCCTAGTTTTGCTGACTCATGGCATGACGAAGTGGCCCTTAACGCCTTGAAGGCTTCCTCCAGCAAACATCAGAGTCACCGCGATTGGCTTGTACCCCGTGTATTCCACACGCAACAGTATCCACGACACAGGGATGCTCCGAAAGTGCGAGGTGGCCCTTAGGTCCTCGGACCAAACCTCTGGCCCTCCCAATGCTCCCTTTCAGCTGAGAGCCGCTCTGGAAGGAGCCCGTGAACTGCGGGAATCGTGCTGCTGATGCTGACACAGAGGAGGCCCCCGGCAGCCTTGCAGGAAGGATTTTCACAATCTCAGCTACTTTTACAAAGAAAAACAACCTGTTTTCTATTATGAAAAATAACCTAAAAATAGTTCCCCGCAGCACGAGGACAAAACCATCTGCGGGGTCCCTCCGAAGAGCTCATATTTCTGTAGATTTTCTCGATTTCCAACTGTGCCCACAAGTTCTGAAATCTTAGGAAGTCGGGTCGACGTGGCAGGTAAGACACATCGAACTATTTAAGCCCATTATTAATGCTGCAACTACTTTAAACTCTTCCTTCACATCACAGAAGACGCAAATCACACACGTGTCAAAGTCAACTGTGAGACTACATTCAACCGCATCCTAAGCTCCACTAAAAAGCTGCATTAAAATGTTTCGACCAATCATCGATCAATAAAAGCAAAACTTCGATGATCTAGATGTGACTATAGAAAAAGACCGGCGCTCGGGAAAGAAAGACCCGAACGGCGTGTCTGGAAGTGGGCTCCCTGGTGTGTGTGTGAGAAAACAACGCTCAGCAGGTGCAGGCAACGCCGCCGCCCTCGGCACCGCCCAACCTTGGTTTGCCCGTCCTCTTCGTGAGCAGGAAGACCCCACTTCCCAGGGACAGAGTGAGCATTAAAGTAAAGAGAGAACGTGAACGAGGTCTGGATGTGTCACGGGAAAGCGGAGAGAAAGGCAACGTGAGCACTGACCTCGCCGTGGGCGCTGCGCCTCAGGTTCCGGAAGTCTCCGTCCAGGAGCGAGGCGCTGACGACCTCATAGGCTCCTGCCCTGTCCTCCGTCCCGGCCGGCGCGACGGTGCGTCCCATGGTCAGCCCTGCAGCAAAGAGAAAGCGCCTGTCTTCAGCCGGTCAGGGGTCAGGGGTCAGGGGTCAGGGGTCGGGGGAGTGTGTCCGGGAGGTGAATGGGGGTAAGGAAACCACCATCGACTAATCGCAGTGAGTGTTCAGCGGGTGAAGTCCCTGCCACTCCAACCACAAAACTCTGCAACTGAAAACAAAACTCCACTTTTTCCTTCAAGGCTCGGGCACGTGCAGGGTGGGTATCGGAGAGGAAGTATGTCATTCCGACCCCCCAACCCCCCGCCAGGAGCACCCACTGCACCGGGACCCGTGAGCGAGGGATTCGCGCTCTGCCTGAGATCCATCGGCTCTCTGCCAAGTCTCCAGGCTTCGGCTGTGTTAGGACTGAATCCACCTCCCGGAGCCGGGGAACCGGCTCAGCACCTTGCCAGCCCCTCGCTGGCCTGGCACAGGCTAATTGTATGTGCTTCAGGGAGGGGTTCTATAGACAGAACTAATTTGCCAGCTCAGACCGACTAGCCTGGGCTGTGAAAAAAATTAAGTCATTCAGCAAACGGCTACGTGATCTTGTTCCTCGGGTCCTGTCTGTCCAACCAGCTGCTGTACCAACACCGGCTAGTGCCGCCCGACTTCCACCAACAGTCCTGCGGGGACGGCTACACTTCTCCCCTGGAGAGTGTCCCACCCCTGTCCGCCCCCCCCAGCCCCCCACCCCCGCTTCACAGGGATTTCCTGGTCCGTTCCCCTGCGAGGCCCCGCGCCTGCGAGTCCCGTGACAGGACAGCCTCCGGGGAGGACGGAGCGGAGCCCGCATGGTATTCCCATCGCCGCCGCGGCCGGGACGCAGACTTCTCAGACCTGAGTCATCAGGCGCAGTTTTAAGTTACGGAGGAGTCCCGTTTATTGGGCACAAATGGTATTGAAATTTTAATCCTAGACATTTTACGGCCCCCCGAGCACTCCTAAATCCACACCATTTTATCATCCTCGACGTGGAAGTCTGCGGTTACATTTCGGTTACAAAAGGCTCGCTCCTCGCTGGGGCTGGGGGAATTCGCCGTCTGACACGGGCCTCTTTCTGGAAAACTTTCTTCAAGCTTGGTCGCAAAGCGTTTTGAAAACTCCCAGGGTGTTTGAGAAACCCGAAGGGGGATTGGGGATGAAACCCAACGCCTGGAAACGTGGCCCAGCCGGCAAGAGGGTGGCGTGGGCGGGAGGGAGGGGGTGCATTGGGGGCCCCTCAG